CTGGAAGCTATTGGATTTATTAAATTCAGCCATCTGCTATTTCAGGCAACGTCCTAGAATCTTGTTCATAACCTTTTTGAAGAACTGGAATGTGCCTAGCTAATGTAAGACTTGTCTTGCCCGTTTTTCAGTTGGCAGAGATAAATAGATATCCCTTTCTTCTTGAATAAAGTTACAAGCCAACTTAGCCTTCCTTTTTTGAGTTACTATTTATATTATATTATATTATATTATAATATAATATAGTATGTGCAGAATCTTCCATACTCTTTATAACAGAGTGTGGCTAAAGCTTACTGCCCATTGCTCAAACAAAGGCTATACATCAAACTGAAATCAAGTATCTAAAGTTAGTCATCTGTTTTCTTGGTACCCACCTGAAGGTCTCTGTGATAACAATACAGCTGAAAAATATTTGAGTCCATAACCTCTTCTATAATTCCCTTGCAATTATATTAATGGGGTGTTGATGAGTGAGGGGGACTATGCAGCTGGCAGTGAGAGTGGAATTTGACCCTGGTCACTATAAAAAGGCAGCACTTTGAACTATTTCAAGACTATTTTTAGTTTTTTAAAATTTTTTAGAAATTTTTTAGAAATCTTAAAAAAAATATTAAAATATTCTATTCCAAGCAAAGGGGGAAAAAACAGAAATTTGAAATACTTCAGATCTACACCGAACTAGTGCACAGGTGCCAATCCATCAAACGTGTTACAAGGACATACAAACATACAGTACTACAGACAAACCCAAGGCGTTCTGGGTTAGAAAAGCAGTATGCCTTTGCTCTTTATATGTTTTTTAGTGTGTTCATTTTCTCACTTTACTGCACCTTGTAGAAGGTGTCCTTATCTGTTTTTATCATTAGTTTTAGGAATCCCTTTGTACAATACTTTGTGTATTTTTTAAAATGTTCAGTATTTGCAATACTGAAGTTTTCGTAGAACCAAATAGATTGCAGTTACTCCTTTGTGAATGTCTGGCAAATATTATTCTCCCTCGGTTCAAGGGGAGCAACTGATGTAGGTAAGGCTTACAAGGGTGAGTACACAGCTGGATAGAGACTCTGGGATATATTCTTAATTGCACCCTATTTGTAGCCCTTAAGGTCTAGAGTACACTTTGTGTTGTGAGAACTGAAAGGGCTCCTGTTTGATGGAGTAAATGCGAAACCTAGTAAACTGCTCTCTCAGAGCAGGAAGGTATGCATGAGTACATTCCGCATATTCTACATTCAGTAGATGGCAGTGGTATGCAGTTGTAGATTAATTCAGGATTCTCTCTTGAGCAGACACTCTCATCTCTGTGAATCCAAGCAGTGTTGGTTTGGGGGTTTATCTGAGGCTTTTTTTTCTCCAGAAAATACTAAGATACCAGATAATTTTTCACCTGCTAGAGCAGACAGTGATAGAAAATGCAAACAATTTTGCTAATTTATTGTGATCTTCATTACACAGCACTTGGAAGAATCTGGTAAGTTTTGAATTTCAAACAGTGGTATTACATACAGAAAGGAATGTGTCTGTCTGGAGCATTGACTCATTTTCCATCTATGCCCCGTGGAACTTAGTATGTACACATCAAAGTCTCAAAATAAAAGTATTCAGTAAGTGGGAACGGTGTGTGTTACTTAACAGAAGTAGTAACACAGTGACGTCTTGGAATACTGTGCACAGAAATAGATATTTTCCCTTGTTTAAAGGAATGAATTGCAGCTCTGTTGGGGGAAAGCGGGGTGTGTGTGTGTGTGTGTATAAGGAAACAAGTTACTCAGACAATTAGAAATTATTATAAAGCTTTTAATTATGGAAAATTGGTACAAAAAGAACAAAACAAAAGCAGAAATACAGTTTGTGTGGCAGGAACGACAGATGAGGAGACTAAGAATTAAATTACATCATTTAAGTAGATATTTTCTCATATGGCAGTTATTTCTAACACAAATAATAGAAAATGTTTAATGATTTATGGTTGTTAATGATGGAAGGAGTTGCTCTCTGTTGCACAAAGCAATGTTTTTTCTTGCCTCCCTATGGGAAACTGCAATAGAAAATGCATTAAATATATCAGTCTGTGAACTGAGTTGTAACACAACCACAAATTTGTCCTAAGGATTTCGAGCACTCTTGGACAGACCCCAGAATCAACTGGTGGTCCCCGAGTAGGGAATACAAATGTCACACATTTTCAACAAAGACCTGCATACTCTGTTTCTCTGCTGTATCAAGACACCACATGAGGATCCAGAGAAACATTTCAATCTATATTAATATGGCTATTGTTTGCAGAACAAAAAGTAATGCCATTCTGGTAGTAATGGAATAGCAGCATAAAAAATAGCATTTCCAGCATAGCCAAAGCTGCTGGAAATCCTTAGTTTTGCAGGCAAGAACATTGTCCAGCCATGGGCCCAGAAGTAAGAGTTTTGTGCAATCTGGTCACGGCCAAAGTGTAATAATGACAATAGGAAATTAAGACCTTTTAATTGGTCAGGGTACTGAAGAAAGAAGTGTATGTTAATTGATTTAAATCTGATTAATGTCGTCTGCTGCTGAGGGCTGTGTTAGGAGCCGTTCTCCTGAGCCCTGTGAAACCGCAGTGTGGCAAATGCTCTAGCCAGGGCCTGGGATTGACTCCCTGTGACAGCTGCCCACAGTGGTGACCGTGTATTTCTGTCTACGTCTAGCAGGAATATCTGGATCGGATCTCTAGGTCCATGCTTCAAGCTCCATTTATTCCCAGCATACTTCACCATGTGATTCCCATGTATGATACTGTGGTCAAAGACCTGTGCTTTACTCAACACCACACCATACTCTTACCAAAATGTGTGTTAATGTTTTTCTCTCCACTAGGATGCCTTATCTTTGTACTGTCTTCTATTTTAGTTTTTGATGGCTTTTGAGCAAAACTTGTTTGCTTTTTTTTTTTTAACTGGGGCTGTACATCTCTTCCTAACATTTATAGAAATCATTACGTATGTAAATTAAGGCATACAGAGGAAGGATGGCTTGGGTTGTTAAGGTTTCTGAATATCTTTTGTGTGTGTGGTTTTTAAAGCACTGCTTTCGTAAAGGATTCATGTGTTTTTAAGACAATCATGCTGAGGATACTTTCATCCTGGCATTGCAATGTCATTCCATTCACTCATGTTTCTAGTAAAACACTTTACTTGGTATTTTTCTCTTCTTCCTGTCTATTTTCATCTGTGTTGCTTAAGTTCTTCTGACACGTTATCAATTTCTTTATGAATTTGCATTTGAAAGATTTTAGTATCACTTTTTTTACCATACACTTAATTTTTCCATAAACTAAATCCATTTTGACGTTGCTGAATGTGTGCAAACCTACTACTACTGGTGTTTTACCTTGTAGTATTGTCACGGTAGACAAGGGTTGCCATCTTTAGGCACTACAGGGAGTTTCTAGGAAAGAAAAGCTCTACCCAAATAAATGGGACTTGTCTATTTTAACAAGTACTCGAGACAGTTTTGCTGACAGTGTTCCAATATTTGTAGAAGCATGATATTTCAACCACTGCAAGATTTATTCCTCTACTATGAACAAATAAAGCTTTTGTTTAAGTTGAAGCTTTGGAGAGTCTTGTCCTAAATGTCACTTTTAATTAAAACTTTATTAACACATACTGTGTTGTAAGCAGGTTCATAACATGAAATGATCTTACAAAAAAAAGTAATCACATGCTATTTTCATGCCAAAGCAACGTTTTTAGAAGCCTGCATCTGGGTTTATAATAGAAGAGTCAGCTGCATCTCACTGCTGACAGTTCTATTCTGCCATTTTATAGACACAGAGAAGAAAATACACAGTAAAACATTCATTTTCTAAATGCCATAGTTATACAGTAACTTTAAAGAAAATACGTGGGAATTAAGTTTTTCATAAGAGTATATGTGTGATGGTTGTGCATAATCTCAATCTATTTTAGACTAGGAAAAATTGATTATAATCATAAGATTATATGTGTGATGGTTGTGCATAATCTCAATTAATCTATTTTAGACTAGGAAAAATTGATTATAAGGTTGGTTATGCAAGATTTTCTGAAATTTATTGCTTTGTATTAAAATAAATTTGTCTTGAAAAGGATTATAAAGTAAAAGAAAATATTACTAGGAAAGAAGAATAAAAAGCAAAGAAAAAAGGGTAATTCTAAAGCATTGGCCTTTCTGAAGAACAGATAATTGCATTAACTCAAAATGGCTTTACCAGAATGAATACAAACCAGATCAGGGGCTTATAACCATTATATGATATGATAAGATGCATTACCGTTGCTATTGACTATATCTTGGACTATGTATTGTATCATAAAAAAAATTCTGTGAGGTTATAATCATTCGAACTCTAATAAGTAACTTCTTGAAGTGCAGAACAACATAAAAACAAGAAAGCCTGTTACTCCATCATGTGACATGTCATTTCAAGGAATGTTGTATAAAATAACAGTAGATATTCTGAATTAACAATGGATGTTCTGGAAAACAGATCATATTTCAACTTGGCTAAAGATGACAAGCTTTAAATACTGTAATTGAAGTGTGTTGTGGAGAGCACTTTAGTACCTGCATGTAAATCTGACAAATACCATTTAGGTGGCAGACAAAGGTATAGTGATAGCTAACATCGTTTCTGGTTTTATGTTCAAAAAAATGCTTTGGATTTTACTGGGAGTTTTTTTAGATGCATGAATATTCTTACAAAAAGAGAATATTATGATTCTTGATGAAGGCTTTTTTTTTTTTTCTTACATAGAAAGATTAAGGGACTTGGCCAATGAAGCCTGAGCTCTGCTACGTCACAAATTGAGGTCTTGATTTTTTCTTCCAAGGTGTTATCACCTGAGGATGTGGAGTTTTCACATCCCAAGCCAACAAACTGTTGTGTGGATTTGGCTTATTTCAGTACTGCGAGCACAGCTCTTCTTGTTATTTATACTACAGCAGGACATGAATTTTCCAGGCACTATTATGGTGACATGCTGCTGGAGACAGTGCAAACACAGGGTAAAAATCAGCACCTGCTGTCACAGCTTTGCAATCTGAACAGACAAAACGCAGAGAGACCGAAGGCACAAAAAGGTGAAAAGCCTGATCCAAGGTGAAGAAACGATGTCTTTTATTGCATGTTTAGCATATGCCTGATCCCAGGGCTGTGGCTTATTTAGTCTTCTACCTCTCTGTAATTGTGTCCAAAATAGTGAAAAATTAAACATTTATGTCAGCTAACAGGTGCTGAATAACAACTGAATAGCACACAGAATAATTTTCTAGGGAATTAGCTTAACAAGAGTGATTTAAATCAACTTTGGAAACTTTACAACAAAATGAAAGAGTGGGGAGCTGGAGCAGCTGTTGCTCACTGCTTCTTAGCTCAGACCTTACTAGTTCTCCCCATCATCCCATTTATCCCAGCATGGGATAAAACTTGAGCAGATCCAGTCATCTTTTACCTGAAGCCACAAGACGTTCTGTGAAGCATCACAACTTGATAAAATTAACTGGATGGATAGTTTAGAACCAAATTTGCAGTATAAACTTAACCATTCTGCCTGTGAAGCAAGCAGTAATACCTTCTGAATTTGTCTTGTCCCTAGATTTTTGCCATAAGTATTCCCAGTATTTTAGACAGCAGATCCAGTAGCAGATCTGTCCTAGCACCATTTAATAATTGTCCATGACCATTGCTGTCTGTGGAAGGGGTGTAAGGATGAGCAGCATTTTCCCTCAGATGAGTAATTATCTATACATGTAGAGGACCTATTGTAAATAAGAAAGAAATCCTTGAGTTAGGATTATTTATGATTATAAACTGAGATTATACCCAGGATGAAGACAGGGTCAATAGCAGAAGTGCCTAATGATTCAGATGTACTCTATGGTGAGCAGTGCAGGTTTTGTAAGCCTGGGCTCAAGAATGCCACAGTCTGAATGTTCTCCCAGCTGATTGAAAACGATCAGTTACTATACCCTATGGAGTATATACTGGCTGTATATTACTAGATTGTGTAACGTGGTCTTGAGGCAAGAATGGATTGAATAAACTCTCTCCCTTCAGTATTTCTTGTTCATGTGGGTTTCACACTTAAAGCATTTTATTCTTTCATTTTCCTGTGTCTTTTGTATTTTTGCCCAGTGTGACTTTCAAGTGTTTTGATTTCAGTAATGCTTTCACACTCTATTTTCTTATATTCATGGTTCTGCTTTTCCTTTATGAAATTAATGCATCAAAGGAATTTAACTTACATTGTGAGGATGTGAATGTACATTGTGAGAACAGATACTAAGCTTTCTGTCTTAATAGGTGATAGATGCCACGTGAACTATGACTGGAGCAACTAAGAGCTTGTTAGAAGCCAGGAAAAGCTAGCATAAAGGTTTTGTCATGATGATTTTTCACTGCCTTATAAAAGCATCCTGTGTGGACTTGGGATCCTGCTTCTGGCTGCAGTGTGATCTGGTCGGGGGTCAGTGATACATACTCTGTTCAAAAAAGATGTTCATCAGTTTGATTGAAATACTGAGTTCTTTGAGACCTCTGCCTCATGGTTGCATACAGAGAGGAGGGCTTGGCTATGCTGCTGGAAGAAAATTATATAGGCAATTCATAGTTCAGGCAGAGTTGCCCCTGCTGTTAGAGCCAGCAGCCAGAAGTGTTCCAGTAACCTGTGCTGGTCGTGATTTTTATACAAATGAGCTTAGGTTGTCTTTGTGGAGGGCTAGGGGCTCACTCATTGTGTTTTACCAAGTAAATGTACTGTACTGTTAAGAAAACGAACACTTGAAGAAAGCTGAAACGTGGGCACATGTTGAAAAGCTGATTGCTGCCCGGAGGGATGGCAGCCGCAGCAGGGGAGGGAGCAGGCACGCAGTCAATATCATTCAGCCACTTCCCAACACACGACTGACCTAGTTTTCCCTATTGGGACAGGCATTGCCTGCGAACCCTGGGCTGATGTAGGTTACTCATGGGAAGCAGACCCTGCAGCATTCCTTCTCGGGCTCACCAACACAGCTACAGCTGCAGTTTTACCCTTGCAATGCCTTGCTCCTTGCCTGAGCATCAAATCCCTTATCCTGTTTTCCCTTCTGTGCATTTAGGGGTGGGCTTTTAGCTGTATACTGTATTATGGACTTTTCCTGAAGAATTTTATGGGGCAAAATGGTTACTATTCTCACAGCAAATACTATAGACTTCGAAAGAACTTGGGTCTAAATGTTCTTTGTCAGAGCAAGAATGGCCTGTTCCTAGCCCAACCTTCACCAGACTTTGGTTATTTGGCAGTATTGGTCCACTTGAGGCATCCCATTCAAAACTCACCCAGATTGTTTCACTGCTTTGGCTTCCCGGAGGGATGGCAGCCGCAGCAGGGGAGGGAGCAGGCACGCAGTCAATATCATTCAGCCACTTCCCAACACACGACTGACCTAGTTTTCCCTATTGGGACAGGCATTGCCTGCGAACCCTGGGCTGATGTAGGTTACTCATGGGAAGCAGACCCTGCAGCATTCCTTCTCGGGCTCACCAACACAGCTACAGCTGCAGTTTTACCCTTGCAATGCCTTGCTCCTTGCCTGAGCATCAAATCCCTTATCCTGTTTTCCCTTCTGTGCATTTAGGGGTGGGCTTTTAGCTGTATACTGTATTATGGACTTTTCCTGAAGAATTTTATGGGGCAAAATGGTTACTATTCTCACAGCAAATACTATAGACTTCGAAAGAACTTGGGTCTAAATGTTCTTTGTCAGAGCAAGAATGGCCTGTTCCTAGCCCAACCTTCACCAGACTTTGGTTATTTGGCAGTATTGGTCCACTTGAGGCATCCCATTCAAAACTCACCCAGATTGTTTCACTGCTTTGGCTTTTCATAGGCTTTATTCTGCGTAATTTTAAACTACCTGACATTTGATATCAGTAAAATTCTAAGTTTAATGTAGAAGGGGTGATATTTCATTTGCAATAAGGGAACAAATTAAGTTTCTGTCAGTTAAAATAGATTTTTGAGGAATCTTAAGTAAATTGGGATCCCTAATCTTGCTGAGTTGAAGTAAGACTTGAGCATTTTAGCTTAAAATCCCAGCCTAATAATACACTCATGTGACCTCTGAGAAACTGCCTAAAGCCAGTGGTAAGAATTTATTTTGGCAGATAACCAACATCTTCCTATAGTATGAAAGGAAACTTGCTCTCTTCCGAGCTAAATGTTAATTCAGACTGGGAATTGAAAAAAAAAAAAAGTAGGAGAATACAAAGATTTAAAATTACATAAGTTCTAAGGAAATTTTTTTTAGTGAATAAGTATGTTTAGCTGCAGGTCCTAATGCTGAGAATTAATCATGTTCCTTGCATTAGTGCTAAGAAAGGTATTTCTTTTGAATTTAGCATAACATGCAGCTGTTTTATTCAGTTACTCTCTGCAGTAATAACTGCAGTTACCCAAGAATTTTTTAATACAGTTTTTTAGTGGAAAATTTATGAGACTGAGGGTAAATGTACTAGTTCTGAGAATATTTACTTCCATCAGAAGTTTCTGCTGTAAGCCAGAGGCAGCATCTAACTGCAAAAAAAAAAAACCCCAAACATAGTATAGTTTTTGTGTTAGCTCCAATTCCTGTTCTGCCTGATTCCTTTGGCTGTTCTGAGACTTCTACTTTCTCTTGTACTTTGTGGAAAAAATACCATTTATGGAAAGGGAATATTTTAAAATTCACAGGATTTATTACAGAAGTACTGTTTTTTGACTAATAGTGCAATGAAAATATGCATGCCCATATCTATCTTAGGTGATCTGTAGGAGACTTTTCAGGTACTTGTTATTTCAAACCCCAAAATATGGTATTTGGTCTGTATTTATCTAGGTTATTTTACATAATTTGTTCAGGTACTCAAATACTTGTCATAACATGATAACATATTTATATTATTTAGAGTCTTTCTAAAATTATAGCCCGATAGTGTGTGTGGTAGGGTGACCATTTGGTATTTATCTGTGAATTACCCGAAGCATTTTGCAATGTTTACACACACATGCATGCACATGTGTGCACACACACACACAAAACTATGAAAATTAATTCATAGTTAATTTGGGAAGCTATTTGGTCTCTTTACAGCAGACATCTTGGAATATACTACATAGATACTTTTTTTTTTCTTTTCTCCTCAGAAATTTTTCCAAGAGATTCCAGTCTAAAAGACAAGTTCATAAAACATTTTACAGGTAAGGCAGCTGCTTGCTCTTAATATTCCTACATATGCATATTCTAAGTTGCCACAAGAGTCGCACCGTTAGCTTTTTTGAGATACTGCACCACGTTTAACATTTGTGAAGTTAAATTTGCATATTTTAGGACTAGAAATTTTTAAAGAACTCTAATTACATTGAGGTTTGAGTGTCTCTTTGAATAATCTAGCCTAAAATAACTTCCAAAAGATGGCAAGTTAAAACATTATTTAAAACTTATTGTTTCATTTTTATCATTCTATTGTCACTTGCCTTATTTATTTTCAAGTTCACTGATTTTAAAACCTCTCATTGGACTGCACATATCTTTCAGAAACAGACCTGTGTGGCCATGTGAGTTTTCACTATATCAGGGAAACAATTTTTGTTTTGTGTCTCATGATGTATACATGTGGATGCTTATTTTAACAGGAAGAACAAATAGAACAAGGGAGGATTAAATCAATGTAAATGAAACATAAAAATAATTTGCTCTTTCAAATACAAAAGTTTTTCATGATTACAGTCAAGTACTTACTTGAAAACTGACATTGAGTTGTGTAATGCACTTACCTTTGGTACTCCGTTTTGTAGCTACTGGGAAAAATAGTGCACCCTCTGAATATATGCAAGAAGAGTTGCCAACAGCAAGATGCTTGCACTGATTCTTTACTGTCCAGTTTCAAATGTTCTGTAATTCAGAAACGTGAAAGTCTCAGAGTATGACACCATAAATCTGTTGGTGATTTTAAACACTAGTGGGATTAGTGAAACTAAAAACTAGAGAAAAAGTTAGCAGTGAGAGCATGAAAAAGAGAATTGGTTACAATTATACATTTCCCCTTTGCTGGAAATTTCAGACAGTCCTTGGCAAGAAAGGAAAGAATATGCTGTCTCTTTTGCATGGGGAAGATGTCCTTAAACCTTTAGGATAAGCCCAACTTTAAGGATCTTTCTGCCAACTGCTAACTGCAGCCTAACAGTACCTGCAGGAAATGTGCCCCACCCAGCTGGGCTTTCACTCTTACAGTAAACAAGAGTAATTATGAACCTTTCCGTTTTCAGTCCATATGAGAAAGAAATGTAAAGAACATATAGATTTCAACTATGCTATCCTATGTAGCACAGGAATATTGAAAATTCCTCTCCTGGGGAGGACAGATAAGAAAGATTCGCTTATATTAATACTTAATCCATTTCCTTTTCATTCTTAACTTTGGAAACTGCTCAACAACAACAACAACAACAACAAAAGCTCAACTTAAGAGCCTGGGGAAGTTAAATAATGAATACAGAACAAGTTTCACTACTCAAAAACAACAGTGGAAAGCAACCATGAGTTTTAGAGAAAGTATTTTGAGAATACTAAATCATGGAAAAGAAAAAGAGCAAAAAATACTTGAAGGCCTGTTTCTGGAGCCATTCATTAAATTAATAGTTGTTTTTCTGCATGAGTAGTTGCCATCAAAATTGCTGAAATTATTTGACTAACATTAGCTGGAATGAATAAGGAAAGCAAGTTCATTCCAAAAGTCTTGAAGTTTATTTCTTTTTGGCTCAGAATTTCTGACTACATATTTTTTCTTTCTTTTTTTTTTTTTTAAATTGTGCTCTTAAGATCTTCAGTGATGGGGGGGTTTTGCCTGTTTTTTTCTTTTCCACAGCTTGATTAGGTCCTGTAATCCACAGGCATTTTCTTAACATACTCTTAAACTTTGTTTTTCTTGATTCCGTTCAAATCATAATCCTTTTTCTATCAACCTCAGGTAAGTAACCTGTTCAGATATAGTCCTTACAAGTTCAAGAGTTAGAACAGCCTAAACTAATGAACTTTTGAAAAAGAGAAGGGGAAATCAACATTATCTTTACAGTCCATTATCTTTCAGGGTTAAGAAAATTATTGCACACTTCTAGTATGCCAAGAATAGTAGACCCACTTTAAAGCCAAATAAGAACCATATGTAACAATCCTCGACGACAGGAAAAATCATAAATAATCTTGTGAATCATAAAGCTATCTATCAATTCAGCTTGAAAAGCCAGCTGACACAGAGTGCTCTGTAAGGCACAAATAAAATTAACAGCCCACTTTTGATGGCAAGGAAGAGTGCTAGAAAACCATATATTAACTAAAGGGACATGGAATTTATTTAGTGACAAAAGCTGATGTTATCTCCATATATCTTGGAAAATTTCAGATTACGTACTTTCTCTTGAGCCTAATTACTCAGATAAAAAATGGCAACAATCTTCCAGTTCAAAGTTGCAAAGGATGTTTTGTCAGTTTGATGAAAAGCTTATTTGTGGCTGAAAAATCTCATGAAATCCCTGTATTACTGTAAAATATATCTAATGTTCAAGTGTGTTCACTGTCATAGAGAGGAATCTTCTCTCAAGCTTTTGGTAGTTTGGCTCCACTGCTCCACTATCCAGAGAGAATTGGCTTGGTATGTTTTACCAGGCTGACCAACCACCTTTCAAGTTGTGAAATAAATAATTTTTGCCCTGAAATGCGTGCTATCTTCCTCTGTCAGAAAAGTTAGTCAATACAACATGCTTCATATGGATCCTTTTGTAGCATTGCTTGAAACAAGCTATTTTTATTCAGGGTTCCTATTCATGCTGAATTTAGAGGATGCAAGTTAAATTCAGTCTTTTTCAGTTAGTGTCAATTTATGTCAGTATTTTCTGTCCAAATGACAGGAAATTCATCCCCAGCTGTCAGTGGTAGTATTGCTAAGCAGGTTACATGATGCAGGTATTACATTTTTGCTTTTCTTTTCAACTCAGATGCTATCAGTAATACCTTCCCGGGGCCATCAGCAATTATGGAAGGCCTCTTTGGCAAATTGTTACCTTTGAGCCATGCTTTGGAGACCATTAGCTATATATTCTTACCAAATATTAATGCAGGCAGATGACACTGTATATCCAGAGAAGGATATGGAAGGCTGGAAGAACAAAGACACCGCACACTACACCCTGGGCACACAGGGATTTGTCTCACCCAAACGTTGAAACACATGCTGCCCTCTGCACAACTGCACCCTTTCTTGCTAGGACTAATTTAACAGGAGATCAGGTTCCTAGGTGTTATTCAGCTGTCATTTTTTCCCTCATCACCCACATTGTATATTAAGAACTTCATAAACCATCTATGTGCAAATTAGAAGCATTAGGACATGAAACTACTTCATTTTTCCAGGACTTAAGAACTCGTATTTGCTTAAAATGTTGCTTTTATTTATCTTCAGAAATGGTATCCACATTCCATCTATATTATTCCTTCTACATTAGACTACTGATTACTACTGAGCAAACTAAATTCTGTTGTAGTTGCACCATTCTATTTTTCACCATAGAAGAAATTTTACTGTCAATTTTGAATTACTGGAATTTCAAGGCTAAGCCAGTCCATCCTTTTCAAGGGCCATTTTTCTGTTATTCAGATCATGAGCATAATAATGTAGTGACAGTACTTCTTTCTGTTATTTCAGTAGCATTGTTATACTTGTGTTGCATCATAATTGTTTAAGGTATAGTAAAAGACTAAATGTAATTTTAGCAAAAAAACCCCTGAACTTAATTCTGTATCTTGCTGTCATTAATTGAAGATGCAAAGCAGTGGCATCGAAAGCATGTGGTTAACTTCTGTTTACTTTCAAACAGGACCAGTCACATTTTCATCAGAGTGTAGCAAGCACTTTCATCGACTGTATCACAACACAAGGGACTGCTCAACACCAGCCTGTAAGTAGTAATTAAAGTACCTTATATGCTAGCTGTGATACTTGTTTAAAAGAACCTAGTTTTCCTACTAAGTGTCTGATGTGCTGGTCCTTTTGTAACTGTTGCTCTTTACTTTAGCAGTATACTACAAAATATATCCAAGGTCTTCTAATTTACAAAGATTTTCTATTAATGCACTTGCAGTCAGCTGTGTATAATGGAGTTCCTTCAAAGTGAGACTAGCATAAGTGAAATTAAGACTACACTCTGAAAAAACAGTTGGGCATGCCTATGCAGAGGGCAGATATGCAGCCATATTCTCCTTCCTGTACCCTTTACCTCTACTTATTACCTTGTGCAATATGATAAAATCTGAACCATTCTCGACCTTCTCTTAATGCTCAATAATATGGTTATATCTTGGGTTTTTTGTGTATTTCAGTTTGTGGTGTTAATTTTCTATTATATGCCCATAGGTAAAGAACATAAGATCAATTAACCTATCATTTCTCTTACTGATACGTGCAGTTGTTATCAAACAATATTCCAGTATGAGATCCACAGAAGTTTTGCTTGAACACAGCCCAAATGTAATTTTGTCAGAGACATTGAAAAATAAAAGTGCCCTAGAATGTTATTAAATGGATAAAACAAACAAACAAACCAACCAACCAAAAAAAAAAAAACCCAAACAAAATGGAAACCCTTAAAAAGAAGTTACTTCAGCATTCCCTAGTGCAATAGAAAATTCAAATACAGTGAGTGGAAAATAAGCAATACCATTTAATTTGAAAAGACGAATCTCATTTTTGATGTGTAAGCACAAACTATGGACCAGGGTGCTTTGGAAATTTTTCAGGATTTAACATGAAAAAATAATGACACTTCTTGTCTGCATCACTTAGAAAGATGGTAAGCACTTTTTGTGAGCAGCTGAGAAGCTCTCACCAAAGCTCAGCACCTCAGAGGATCTGGCTTCTGAAAGGGGCTGGAGCAGCACTTGTCTCCATCCACCCTTACACTAATCAGAAGTTGGAATGGTGAAATCCATAGCTGATCCTGAAAAGATATACATACAGCTTTGTAAGTAGACATATGAGTAAGCTAGATATAGATCTATTACATGCTGCATGACAAAAATGCCATGCATGTTGCATATTGCATGCCTTGATACATGGATCCAGAGTATTATTTCGACACCCCTCTATTTCCTGGGTGCTTCACTTTATTTATGAAGAAACACAGTCATAGTATTTCTCTTCTAATTAAATAGCTTTTCTCTAAAATTAAAAACAAGACTGTGGTTAGGATGTGTGAAGAACTGATGTAAAATAAAAATTGCAGTTAAAACCAAAGCAGGTTTTTTTTTTCTCCTTTACGTCAACCAAACCCAAAGCAGCCAATGAGTTTTATTCAACCTGAAACGTTCTGTTAATTAAAAAGGAGAGCTAAATCCTTAGAACTGTCTCCACCTTATCCAGCACGCAGAGTTTAGAATAGCTATCAAGGCTGATCATTACCTGTTTAGAGGGGGTTGGTATTTTCTTTCAGGGACATCTTAGTCATCATAGGATGTCTGAGGATGAGTTACTTCCTCTCCTGTTGACATGGTTATATTCTGTACAAACATTCCCTGAAGAACTGGACCCAGGTTAGCATTCAGTCTCTTGCTGTTAGGCACAATTTCTATTATTAGAATACTTATCAAGCAGGAGAAGAAAATCACACCTAAGTATTTCCTGTTACCAAATAGATCTTTCCATCAGAAAGGACGGCAGTGGCTCAGGGGCCACTTGAACCAAGTGGTCATTTGAACCAAGGGCACCAGAGAGAGAGATAGCAAGTGGGACACTAGTATCTCTAGTCTGATGATTAGGAGATGTACTTAGACATGGAAAACATGGATTTCCATCAATGCTAATACTAAGTGGAACAATGAAAAGTTTGAAAGAGCCTGACTTCAAACTACCTCATAGTCTGCTGGTTAGTATAGGGTCCCAGTTAATGAGTTAGTGCGTTCAAGTAAAGTTGGGAGTTGAATCTGGTCTTCTACATCATAGGAGGAAACTACCTGGTAGAAAATTAATTGCTACCATCACTCACATTTCATCTCAAGCTCTGGCTAGGATAAGGTACAACATAATTTTGCATCTTGCACACATAATTACATTAATTTCCATCAGAGAATGGTTTCACTGTGTAGAGTGTCTGAAATTCTCATACAAATTCTACATTTAATTTTACGCAGATTTGAGGGTATTTGGCAACTGAGATTCATTATTGCTGTGGGTAATTTTGTTTTATAGATTATAAAAGGTGTGCAAGGTTGCTAACAAGATTAGCAATGAGTCCTTTGTGTACACAGTCCTAGGATGTTTGCTATGTAAGTATCATTTTTCCCACTCATTTTCTTATTTGTTGAATGGTCTAGTGATTTACTTCACACTTATACCTTGTTACCATGCATGTATACAGAAACGTGGTATTAACAGAGTGCAACAACGTGCAGCTCTGGCATTGCTGTAAGCCTGACCTGTTTCTCATGGAAATACACAGAAGCACAAATACCTCTGATAGGCCCCACTTTAATGTCCTACAAGTCACTTGTGGCACCATAATTCATGATTATGTACTGGGTGACCTATTACTGTTCGAAATTTTAAGAGAGTCTGGTTGGTGAAAGAAAAATGTATGAGGACTTCATCAACACATTTATTTCAGGCCTTTCAGAAGAGAGCTTTGTTGTTAGTCCATGGAGGATGCAGAATGTTTTGGTCTCAGGTCTGGCAATGCAATCTTCACAGATACCCTGTCGCTTTATTCATCTTTGGGACCACTTTTCCCAGATTGATCTCTCCTCAGAATTTCTCAGGAAAAGTGGTTCAAGTGATTGCAAGTGGTTAATACCACTTCATGGTGATGGAAGTAAATGGAACATAAAGATGTGACAAAGCTAAAGGCTTCAAGTAACAGGTTGTGGAAGGAACCAGTCCATTCTTGTTTATGAATAGCATGTTAAATGTGTTATTTAAACAGCATTGTCACTGACAAAAGGAACATTTTCCAGTGAGCTGTTTTCTCCAGTTGTTTGAATATCAATAAGTTGGTTACACTTCCAACAGTGATTTGAAAAACTGCACTGGTTATCATTGACCGATAAAATATATAAAATCAGTGAATTTAATTTCTTTAAATTTCTTCAAAGATGGTTTCCTTTCACCACCTCCTCCTGACAAATACTGCAAGCTTGGAGTTTGGGGGAGTTGTGTATGTCACTTCTTCCTGCATCAAGGCTTCAATTCATACTAATCAAGAACAAGAAAGAAAGAGTAGGATATGAGTCAGTGTTAGCTGATTTGATTTCCAAGTGGAGGTGGGATTCATTCTGGTGGCTGTGAGAAAATGCTTTGAAGAATATGGCAGTGTTTCAGTGCTGAGAAGAAATGACATAATTTCTTTCTCCTCTTCTTTTCTTTCTTAACTATTTTCAGTCTGTTTGGCCTCTTGCCTTCCAGGTCTTGAAGATGGTTTTGAATATATCAGGGGCACTGAACCAGAGACTGACTAGGGATCTCATCACTTTACCAGGATATCCTTTTAATGACTAAGGGCAGGATCCTTTTTTGAATGGCCTTTTTAAAATCTTTTTTTTTTTGAGGTGCCTAAATTCATGTTTGTTTGTTAGTGTTCTCATTCAAATCTCAGATTTCTAAAACATTCCAGCACTCTCCCATTTTCTGCACTTTCACCTATTTAGTCTGTGTTTTCCCCTCATCTGTATCCTTTTACAACTCTGGGTTTATGGCTCAGGGCTTCCAGAAAGATTTCTGTGTGTTCCAATACTTCTTTTTTCCTTTTCTTTCAAGAGGATGAGTCAAAGATCTGCCTCCATATCCACAGTACAGAAGCATCTATCTCATCCTATTTCCATCTTAAAATACAAAAGGATCAAAATTTGCTATGATTTGAAAATCCAGGTGTTCTAATTTTCCTGCCAAAAATACACTCAGAAAGATGACATGTGGGGAAGGGAGAGTCTAAATGGTAAGCAATGTTAGCAGCTCGTGTGCACTGTGTTCACTTAAAATTGTATCTAGGCTGACTTTCTCTCCACTTTGTTAAAAATAGAGAAAACATTGTAGGAAAAAGTAGAGCTGTGATCTGAGTGTTTCCCAGCTGCCTCTGTGCTCCCTCACCACATTCCTCCACTGCACAGATAAGACTGGCTAATTTCCACTAGAGATAAGACAGGCTCAGGTCTTCATGTTTACTCATATCCAGTGTCTTCTTGGAATGGAAACATTTTCCTGAGAAGGATAAAGGGTGGCAGGAGTCACTCTCTCTTCCCTCCAAAGAGACAGGGCAACACAGGAGTCGCATATGTTCATCCCTCAATAACACTGCATTTCTGTGATTCTGTCATTGCTTCTACTCCATCGGAGTATCTGTTTTCCTCACCACCCTCACACTAGCTTAGAGAGGACAGGGTCATAGTTCCTGTTTACTGTAAGGAAATTTGCCTTTGCTTTAACATCCGAGAGAGTCTTGGAGATTCTCGGTTGCCTCGAAGAGAGAGCCTCTCCCACTCGAAGGACTGACAACTATTTTTAAGCATTTCCCCTTACTGTACTAAAATAGGCTGCGTTTCCCTCATAAAAAAGAACCATAGTGCTGTTATGTGAACATTTTCCTCCCTCTCCTGTAAGCGCCCGAGTAGAAAAAGGAGACGGGGTCTCTTCCTCTTAGACATGAAGTTTTGCCCGGGAAAAGCCAATCCCCCGCGGGAGCTGGTGGGGAGCTGGCGGCGGGCGGTTTCAGCACCATGGAGAGGGGCCGCCGAGGGGCCGCACGCTCCGAGCAGTGACGGCTTCTAGAGTTTTGGGGCTTTGGGGATTTATTTTGTTTTGGTTTGTTTTTTGTTTTTGTTTTTTTTTTCTTAATTCAGAGCCTTGCATGTGGAAGTACAGCATTTGACAAACCCTGGAATCTAGAAATGCACATGACTCCGTGCTTACTTCCATCACAGACCACTACGTGTTAAACCTCTTAGCATCAGCGCTGAGCGTTTGCCACGGCAAAACTCATTAGTGTTCGCGGGAGGGCAAGACCCACTGGCATTCTGGAGTTAATCTTAAGATTTATGCAATCTGCAGGAAACTGTGATTTATAAACAGAATTATATTAAGCAGTCTGCCTCTGTGTTTTGAAACTAGTTATAAAATGGCATGTCCTTTTCTCTTGCAGACTTTCTACTAAGGAGAGAATTCTGATTTGCCAAGAAAGTGCCTTGAAATCTTCCAAGACAGAGAAGACATCTTTTACCTTTTTGATTTACAATGTTTTGTTACTAGATGCATTTTATTTTCCTATATTTGTTGGACATTCCATATTTGTGTGAAGCATTATTTTATTTTAATTTGTAAATTTGTTGCCTATAGTTCAGACAAGCCAATTATTTAAATACATTGTATATAAAGAATACTAATGGTATACTGATTAAATGTTATAACCATGTGCAGGGAGTTGGTAAAATTTTGCTGTTTCTCTTGTTCCATTGTATTTACATCATTCTGCTCAGGCTCTTACTTTCATTATTTGCACTAACTTGAAATGCAGAAGTCTATGTAACTGAAATCTGAATAAGCTGTAAGTGGGGAAGTTTTACTTGCCATGGAAGATATTTTATATTATGAAGCTTTGTTAATATATACATATATATTATTGCGCATCAGAAAAAAATTGCTCAGAAATGCACCTTGCTTTCAGGAACATTTGTATGACTATTCTGGATTTTCATCAGTTACATTTGTACTGGCACTTATGGAAAGAGTTGCAAATAATGTAAATATAAAGACTGGAAAGCTGCAATGCAGTTTTGGTGGAATAAAGAACATAAAAATAAACTATTTTCTAGGAGGGGTTATTTAAATTTCTTAAGAGGTTACTTATTTAATATATACATTTAATTTATCTGGTGAACTTGAAATAATTTTCCGCTGAGAATCTCAAACCTGTAGGTGTAGTTTTTTTACAGCATTTCATTTTCAAGTTGTAGATTATATTCAGATATTTATTCTTCAGCTGAAAACAACAAAAATGTTGTTCTGTGAACAGAAACCTTCTGTGAGGATGAAGAGATGGTAATAAAACACCCCAGTAGAAGAGAAAATACTTTAAAGTATAATATCATAAAACCAAGGGGTATTAATGAATGAATTTGGCTAGTGACACATCAAACTTAACTGTTTGGGAAGAATCCAAAGCACAGTTGCTTCATCTTTCTTATTTAAAATCAAACTGCAGTGGTAACATCTGCTACCCATTTGTCTTAGCTCTTTTATTGCAAGCTTATATGTTTGCTTTGCGAAGAACCTCGTATGAAGTGAGGTTTTTATGGTCAGGCCCAGAGTAATTGACAACACACATTGATTACTGTGCCCAAATCACAATTCTTGTGATTAACTGACCATTCAAACTAATCTCCTCAGATTAGATGCTCCCTTTATCCTTTCCCTCAGCATGGGCTTTATGAGCCCCTTAACTACTATGGCCAGCACATTCTCCTCTATAGAATAGCAGGGAAGCTCTGCCCTGGGATTCCTTGTCAAATAGCAAACAGCTGCCTTACTACCCAAAGGGATTTTGTTTCTTCTTTCTGAATTGTTCAGTGTGTTTCAGCACCAAAGTTGTGCAGTGTCCTATGATGCACCAGGCAGTCCAGCCCACAACTTCTGCGGGTACTATCATGTTCTGTCTGGGCAACAATATATCAGAGTAGCTGTTTCTAACCAGCTCCTTAGTCACAGCTGTTGAAGTAGTCTTTAGGCCTGCTTTTGTATTTCCACTCTGATTTTCTTTCTTCTAAATTTTTTTTTTTAAAGTCTTTCCAAGTCTCCTTGAGGGACTGAAAACAATGAAAGGAGAAGCAAAAAAATTATGTTTTTTTCTGACAAGGACATTTTGTGAAATGTGAATTCAAATGAAAAAAAACTAATTTGGCTTATTTAATGTAATTTTTGGGCTCAAATCTAATATGTGAAATCAAGAGCTTCACTTTACTTTGTAAGAATAAAGGCATCCTCTTCCTACAGAATAGATAAGTGGTCAACTCCCTATCTTTGGGCAGATTCACAGATGTTACAAGATATTAAGCAGGGATAACCATGGCATGTTAAAATGTTGGTGAAGAAATGAAAAAAAGTGTGTGAAATGAATGAGAGGCTAACCCCCTACCCCCATCCCTGCAGTTCTAATTTCCCAGAAGTTGTATGGCTGTTTTCTTCTGGAGGCAGGTTTTTTTCTTTGAGACAGGTGGGTTCCTTCTTTCTACTTGGCTCTAGAGACTTTTTGAAGCTCAGTCTGCTCTGAATG